TGGGATTGCTAGGTCATAGGGGAGCTCTATGTGGAGACTTTTGAGGAACCTCCATACTACTTTCCAAAGTGGTTGAACAAGTTTATACTCCTACCAACAGTAGGGTTCCCTTCTGTCCACATCCCCTCCAGCATTTGTTGTTACTAGATTTCTTGGTTATAACTACTCTAACTGGGGTGAGGTGGAATCTCAACATTTTCTTCAATGAAATTGAAAGCAAAGATTTACTATCACACTCTTTATGAAGCCAGCATAACCCTCATCCAAAACCAGGCAGGGGCTCATCAAAGAAAGAGAATGATAGACCCATTTCTTTGCTGAATATGGTCACAAAACTTCTCAACAAAATCTTGGCCAATTGACTTCAACAACTCTTCAAAAAAAATCATATACCATGATCAAACAGGATTCATTTTAGACATGAAAACCTGGTTCAATATATACAAATCAATTAATAAAATTAAACAAGAGCAAGGATAAGAACCACACAATTATCTCAAAAGATGCAGAGAAAGAATTTGACAAGATCCAACACCCCTTCATGATGAAAGCTCTGGGAAAACTAGGAATCTATGGAACATTACTCAATACAATAAAGGCTGTGTATGACAAACCTACAGCCAGCATTATACTAAATGGCCATTTAGGTCATACCAAATCCATTTCCTCTAAATTCATAAATGAGACAAGGATGTCCACTCTCTCCACTCCTCTTGAACCGAGTATTAGAATGTCCAGATCATGGGCCTCAAGCAAGTAAGCTCAGGGATTGTGCCCATGTCCTGTAGCTGAGCCCAGCTCCAGCGGATTTGCACGTGCCCCCACACAGCCAACTGCCTGAGCCCTTCTTCATGGTCTGCTCACACCCTGTGCAACAGTCAGTCCAAGTCAGCACACAGGAAGAGTGAGGGCCTCTGTTCAGCTCAGGGTATTCTGCTGCTCTGACTGAAAGATAAAGAAGGACAAGACTAGGAATTTATTGAGCCCATGGTTAACAGAGATGCCTTACTCCTCATGGAAACTCCCAGAACATAATTGATTCTGTGGATATTTGGTTTATGTTTTCAATATCAGGTGCCAGATGTGACATCCCCATTTCCCAGTGTCCATCCTCCCTGTGTGCATCTGTAGGAGACAGTCTCCATCACTTCCAGATCCAATCAGGGATTAGTCGTGATTCACAATGGCATCACCAGAAACAATGTGATGCTCCTAAACTATCAATTTACAGTCTGAGGTGACATCCAGATTTAGTGGCAATGAATAGGGAAGAGAGTCTACTTTCACTATCAGCAGCCTGCAGTCTGAAGATATTGCAACTTACTACTATCAACTGAGTAATAAACAGTTCAACTCCCACAGTGATACAAGACCAAATATAAACCTCTCTGGGGCATGGAGGAGAAAATGTGAGAGGCTGGGCTGTGCCAGCTACTCCTCCTGATTCCTCAGCCTGCTGACAGTGTATCTGAGCCACAGCCAGGCTCTGAAAGTCACTGGGAGATTTGGTAGAGGGGGTCATCAACAACCCTCTCAATCTTGTCTGTCTTCTATCAGCCTCAGGAGAACCAACCAGATAATGCTTCTGGTGTCTTATTAAAAAACACAGATCTGTCCTTCTGAACCTCTGAAATATGGTATCTAGGTGGATATAATTTGCAGTTTGCCACACAATAGGCCTTTGCCTGCCTTGTGCTCCCTTTACACTGCTGCACCCACCTGCTAATTTGCATAGTGCTCCCTAAGGAGGACTTTCCCTTTTGAGTCTGAGATGAAGGCTCAGCTTGCCATTGTCTTGTCCTATCAGGACTCTTAAAAAAGAATTCTTTTAGTAAGCTCCTGGGCTGCTAATGCTCTGGCTCACTGGTAAGGACAGAGGGAGATGAACAATGAAATCATGTAAATCGCAAGGAAATGAAAGGAACTAGATCCTTATATTGAGTGACATAGGTCAGGATGCAATAGAAAATAGTGTTCTGTCCTACTTACTTGTGGAACCCAGACTTAAATGATGGTAGTGATGATGGTGGTGATGGTGATGATGGCATTGATAATAATAATAATAATAATATAGCATGAATGCTAAATGGAAAATATCTGAAGGGAGACAGGTGAGGGTGAAAGATAGGGACAAAAGCACACTAAGTGTAGAAGATGAATTGGTATATAAATAAATAGATATACATATATATATACCCACATGTGCATTTGAGTTACGAAGTTCCTTTACACAGTATGAAAAATGGTGGGAGTGGGAGAGGAAGAGTACAGCAACAGAAATGAGGTGGTGAGTTTTTCAAAATAAGCTGCATTCAGGTAGGGATTCTCATCATAAACTAACCTCCTGTTGTTAATATATGACAATTACAATTTATCATACAACAAAATAATAAAATGCGATGAATATGCATATAAAACTCCTGGGAACCTGCACACCTATTAACAAAGAATGGTAAACTCCAAATGAAAATTTGTCAGCTGCTATGTCATAAAAAGGCCACTAGATGGAAAACAAATGTTACAAGAAAAACCTGAAACCTAACCTTGTCAATAGGAGCTTGAAGCCAGGGAGTTCCATCTCAGGCTTTCATGGCACACATGGCATGTGGGACCATGTTTACAGAGGGGATTGTGTCTCCCCACATCCACTTTGTAAACTTTAATCAAACCTGACAAGGATGACACACAAAATTTCTTGTAATGATGTCATTAAGAGCAGGTCAGAATGGTGAGGGAAGGAGGGTGGACCCTGCAGATATGCAGCCCTGAAGGGAACATGTGCACACACCCTGTCCAGCTGTAGGAGGTGAGAGGGGGCTGCAGTGTCAGTGCTGTCCCCAGCAGTTCCCAAGAGTCCTCTGCAGTGATCAGGCCACTGATTGTCCTTAAAGGCACAGATGGTGTCCTGAGCTTCATGATGTCAGACTAGAAATATAACTGCTCATTGTTCCTAGCATTCTTTTTCAGTGTCAGAATTTAAAATGCTGTGTTAGACAATTAGAATTATATTAATGAATGTTTAATTTAATAGGTAATTTACTTCATATAAACAATAGATATATAAATTCTACATTCATTTGTGAAGTGCTCCTCTCTGTTCTGAGAGGAATAGACTTTTTCCTTGGACACAGTCCTCACTCAGGTTCATGGCCCAGACCATTAACACCTTTCTTTCCTGTATGCTCTTTCTTCTTCCAGGAAGATCCTCAGAAATGTTTTCTTATGTCTTCCTTGGATTCATCTCTTTCCTTAGATTTCAGCTTCATCTCTCAGCCAGCTACATTCCTCACACCTCAGAGCAGTGTAAGCCTACCAGCAGCTCTGATATGAGGCTAGTATTCCAAGTCTTCCATGTATTTCAGTACCTGAAGTCTATGTAGATTTCAAATTCACAAGTCCCATGGCACATGTCCACACATGCTGCAGGAAGCCCTGGAGTGTGGATCTGGAGAATGTAATGTGTTATCTCCTTGGACTTCCAGTAGTAAATACCATGTGATCACCCTGTTCATCTAACTCTGGTATGACAATCTACACAATGGGATGAAGCATGTCCACATGCTAATCTCTATGTGGGGACCTTCTTCGCTTCACTTTGGCTTCACTGTCTGTGATTCCTCAGGTTGAAGATGTTCTTTGCTAACTGGGTAGTACCAGTTTCTCAACTCCACCCTTGACCACATTGCAATTTATCATTTCTATACCTATATGAATCATATCTCCTAAATACAACTGGTGAAAACTGCTTTATTGGTGGTCATGCCTATAATACTAGCTACAGAGGAGGCTGAGATCTGACGATTAGGGTTGGAAGTCACCTTGGACATAAAATACTATGAGTCTCTGTTATCAGTTAAACACCAAAAGGCTGGAAGTGAAGCTGTGACTCATTTGGTACACTACCAACCTTGAGCACAAAAGCTCAGGGACTAAGTCAAGCCTCAGGCCTAGCTCACAAAAAAACGGCTAGACTTAGGACCTAAAAGACGTGTAACTTGAAGGACTATGCAGGTAAAGAAGCATAATGAAGTTTAAGTAGAGTTCAATCCTTGGTCTAGAGAACAACTCAGCTTCTGAGAAAGAAGTTTCCATTAATAGATGAAACAAATGTCCTCTAAAAGTTCAGAAATATCTGGCACATACATGCATAATACCCACAAAGCTAGATGTGGTTCCAGGTATTTTCCTAAAACTAAAGAAGAAATACCTGATGTGAACTGTTCTAGAGGGAGGCGATAGGGAAGAACATTCAGAAGGGAAGCAATCCAGTCCTTTATATGAGTTCACAGGACACCAATGAATGCACCAACGGATTGTTCATATTCCTCTGATCATGAGACTTTATTGTACATATTTCAGAGCTACCTTCCTTTAAAAACTTTGAAACCTGTTCATTTCTCTCTTTCTTTCAATGCATCTATCTGTCTTTCTACCTACACATGTATTATTACTTTAATAATACACATGTCTGGGTACTAATGTTCATTATTAAACCATATAATAAGGTTCAGGCAAACAATCTGAATACTCTTAAGAATTCTGTGTCACAAACTCCACTGATACCAGAGTAAGGGACATTCTAAAATTAATTTCCCTTGAAAACGTTTGTCTTTGAGTGACTGATTTTAGCAAAGGAAAAATGAACCAAGTCATGGATAAGTTGAAAATGTTAAAAATTCTATTTGGGGTTGGGAATTGAGCTCAGTGGAAGAGTGCTTACCTGGAAAGTGCAAGGCCCTCAGTTCAGTCTTTAGCTCAGGGAAAAAAATCTATTCTTATCACAGGCCAAAGGAATCATAATGTTTTCTTGTCTCTAGAAACACATTATCTACAAGGACATTGGACATCTGGGTTCTCCAGGTCTGTGCTTTGTCACTGAGATCTGCCAGCCTGCAGATCTGATTTGCACTGCCCAAACCATGTTGATTTGCATGTGCCCAGAGCACAGCCCACTGCACTGGGAACTTCTTCACAGGCTGCGCACACTCTGTACAGGAGAAGTTCCAGTCAGCAAACAACGTGGACATGAGGGTCCCTGCTCAGCTCCTGGGGCTCCTGCTGCTCTGGATTGCAGGTAAGGAAAGATGATACTGAGTTTATTCATCCAGTGTTCAGCTGAGCTATGTGGCTGTTCATGGAATTACTTGGGCAGCAGAATTAATTAAAGTGCTAATGGCTTTTATGTTTCCAATGTCAGGTGCCAGATGTGACATCCAGTTGACCCAGCCACCATCCCTGTCATCATCTCTGGGAGACAGAGTCACCATCACTTGCAGAGCGAGTCAGGGCATTGGCAATAATTTACATTGGTACCAGCAGATAGCAGGGAAAGCTCCAAAGCTCCTGCTCAGTTATGCAACTACTTTGCAATCAGCGTTTCCACCAAGGTTCAGTGGCAGTGGATCTGGGACAGAGTTCACTGTCCCCATCAGCAGCCTGCAGCCTGAAGATGCCGCAACTTATTTCTGTCAACAGAGTTATACCTATCCTCCCAAAGTGACACAAGTCATTACAAAAACCTCCCAGCAAGGCAGAAGTGAGAGGCTGGCCTGTCCCAGCTGCTGCTCCTGGGACCTCTACCTGCACAACTGCCTCTACTCTACACAACTTCTCAGATGAAGCCAAACTTTAAGGTCACTGGAGAGAGAGGTCATGGAGGCATTTGCACACACTAACTCTCTGTCTTCCTGCTCATCCCAAGCAGCACACACCTTACAATGACTCTTCTGACTTTAAAAATCACTGATCTTTGATAAGGGAGCTAAAAAAATAGAATGGAAGAAAGACAGCCTCTTCAGTAAATGGTGCTGGCAAAATTGGTTAACTACTTGTAGAAAACTAAAGCTAGATCCCTATATATCACCCTGCACCAGAATCAACTCCAAATGGATCAAAGACCTTGGAGTCAAAGCAGACACTCTGAAAACATTACAGGATGGAATAGAAGAAACCCTAGGTCTCCTTGGGACAGGTCAAAATTTTCTTAATAGAGACCCTGAAACACAACAAATCAAAGAAAGGTTGGACAAATGGGATTGCATGAAATTTCAGAGCATCTGCATGGCAAAGGACATAGCTAGCAAGATCAATAGAAAGCCTACCAACTGGGAGAAGATCTTCACTAGCCATACAACGGACAAGGGTCTCATATCTAAAATATACTTGGAACTCAAAAAATTAAATCCCCCAACAACAAATCTTCAAAGAAACAACTACCCAATAAATATGTGGGCTAAAGACTTAAAGATAAACTTCTCTGAAGAAGAAAGAAGGATAGCCAATAGACACATGAAGAAATGCTCAACCTGCTTAGCCATAAAAGAAATGCAAATCAAAACAACATTGAGATATCACCTCACCCCAGTTAGAAAGGCAAAAATCAAGAACTCTAATAACAACAGATGCTGGAAGGGATGTGGACAAAGGGAACCTTACTTCATTGTTGGTGGGAGTGTAAACTTGTTCAACCACTTTGGAAAGTAGTATGGAGGTTCCTCAAAAGACTCCACATAGAGCTCCTCTATGACCCAGCAATCCCACTTTTGGGCATGTACTCAAATGCTTACAAACAAGACCACACTAAAGCTCACAACAATGTTTACTGCAGCATTATTTACTATAGCTAAGATATGGAACCAACCCAGATGCCCCTCAGTAGATGAATGGATCAAGAAAATGTGGTCTATATACAAATGGAATTCTATGCCTCCATCAGAAAGAATGACATTGCCCCATTTGTGAGGAAATGGAAAGACTTGGAAAAAATTATATTAAGTGAAGTAAGCCAAGCCCAAAGAAACATAGGTCCCATGGTTTCCCTTATTTGCAATATTTAGTATATGTATGAGTCAAGCAGAAAAGGTCAGATAAGGTGATGTTTGGAAAATGAACCCTAAGATATGTATTTAAATGTCTTTTTTTCTTTCATGCATTTGTTTCTAATGCATTTATAAGATTATTTCTTTGTTGCTTTGTATGTCCCTCCCCCACAGTATAACCCCTGCTTTCACTGTAATTGATGTTGGTATAATTTGTGGAGGGGAAGGGGAAAAATAATTGTTTAAATAAGGATACAGGATGACCGGTTGCAACAATGAGAAGTACAAGTTGTCATGTCAAAAACGAACTTTACAACTTTGCTGGGGGGGGGGGGGGAGGATTTGGTGGGGGGGGTAGGCGGAGGCTAGGAAGGAATGGGAAGGGTAAACAAAGGAGGAGGCTACAATGCTTGATAAGAAATGTACTCATTATCTTGCCCATGTAATTGTAACCCCTCTGTACAGTATTTTCACAATAAAAAATATTAAAAAAAAAAAAGATGTCAGTGAGACATAAAATGTCTAGTAGAAGTGAGCACAAATATATTGAATACTAAGATACCAGCATTGCCTGATATTCCAGGGAAAATAGTATAGAACTTTACATTCTCCCTGCAACAAGATTCTGGCTGGATTTTTCATAGACAGATCCTATAAAAGCACAAGAGATACAAACTCACACCTAGAGATGCCTACAGCAAAGCTGAGTCCTGGGTCATCTCCTTACTAGTACACATGGGAACAAACAAACACACACCAAAAACCTAAACAACAAGGACATAGCATAGGCATGCATGGTGAATGGAGAGGATAAGCAGAGGGTATAGAGATGTTTGCTAACATGAACAGATTTGGTATCAGTAGTCAGAATTTCATGGTGATAACTAGAATCATCACAAATGACAGACATGGCACAATATAAACAATTCCAAATTAAGAAAAAAATGTAGCTCATTTATTATGGAACAGTAAAGAAACCTATAGCTCCAAAAGCTGGTGAGCCTGCGAGTGAGTCACATTGGAAGAATTACGCAGTGTGCTGCTTCCCCTCTATTACTTCATCTGATGAATTATCATTTTACATAAAAAAGAACAAGACTATTTTAAATGCATAAAATCCATGTAAAACGCAAACTAGAAACTGGAATTAAATGTAGAGTGTGGCAGTGATAGGATGTTGGTCACTTGCCAAATTGATTACAAAATGCAGAATTTTACTTTGGGTGTTATGGAGATTGAAACTCAAAATTTCCTGTCTGCTACACAATTACACTGTCACTCTGCTTTTGTTTTTCCGACAGGGTAGCATGCTTTTATTTTAGTTGGTCTGGCAATGCACTTTCAACTTCAGACTTTGTGTTTGTTCATTATAATATGGAAGAATGTTTGGATTTTTTTACAAATATTCACTGAATCTTATAATCAAGGATTAATTTGGTTTGGGAAGGGGTACAAGATGTCCCCTTCCTCCATGACCACCAGTCAGTCACCACCTTGAACCCCAAAGATTATAAATTGATTCAAGTTGAAATCTGGATAGAATTGAGACCACTGTAACTATCATTTGTTTATGCATTATACAGCCTATGGATGTCTACAAACTCCATTGGGATTTCAAGGCTTTCTCTGGAAAGCCCTTGAGAATTTATTTGGCCATTAAGATGTTATTCAGAGAAACATCAGGTCTGGAAACAAGTTCCTACAAACACCATAAATAAGGAAGTAAGGCTAAATAGCAATTGAAAATACATTAAATGGTCACATAGATCTCAACCCCTCTAAGATCTGACACTTTTCTCTTCCCCAGGACCAGAAAAAAAGCACAGTACCACTGAGGCAGTGTGGCATTGGTTTTTGTCCTGTCTTCAACTTGATTCCAAATTACAATAAGTGAAAGTCATTAGCATTAAATTAATAGCCCTCATTTCCCAAATTGCCAAATTTAGCAGTCTCATTGAAATAATTACAAATTTGCCTTCATTGTCATCCAGAAGGCCTATCTTCTATCCCAACCACTTTAGGAATTTCACCCAGATATCTGTGCCTCCCACCCTCACATCTAGATCAATTGAGAAACAAAGTGATATTTAAAATGCGACACAATGCTACTAACTCTTTAAAACAGCTATTTTTTATTCACCCTTGAAGTTGCCCAGTGCTGACCAGCTGGTTTTAAAAAGTATGGATGACCCTCTCCATTCTCCAGGTAGTAGCAGAAATTTGGACACATGTAAGCAGAAAGAGATACATGAGGACTAGGGAGTTTGAAAGTAAGTGTTTTGCCCTAAATTTGATGTGGAATGATCAGAGGACAATGGATATATGAATGCGCTGTAGTTCTTGGATAATATGAAACTGTAAGTCCAAGTAAAAATTGTACCTGGTGATCTGGCAAATCACAAAAACTTAAGAAATTTTGGACTTTTCTGGTAGCAACATGTTTTTGCTTCAGCCCTCTAGCCATCTAACCACAGAACATGCTTACTAAAACCGTTGGTATAGTTGTTTTCTCTCATTTTGAAAATTTTCCTGTGTAGCAAATTTTTTTGTTTATGCAGTAAATTCAATTAGGAAGAGTTAGACTCAGTCTTTATATCTACTCTTGGGAAGAATCACATTTTACTTTGTGTATATGTTTGTTTTAGAAGAGCCTGAAGTATAAATTGCTTGAAAATTTAACAGCTTATTTATGTCTTGCTAGGCCAATGAGAAAGTTTCAATGTATAGAGATATTAAACCAGTTAAAAATATCCACAAGGGCTGGGAAGGTGGCTCAGTGGTAGAGCACTCGCCTTGCATGCTTGAGGCCCTGGGTTCGATTCCTCAGCACCACATAAGCAGAAAAAAAAGCCAGAAGTGGTGCTGTCGCTCAAGTGGTAGAGTGCTAGCCTTGAGCTGAAGAGATGAAGGACAGCACCCAGGCCCAGAATTCAGGCCCCACAACTGGACCCCTCCCCCCTCCCCCCTGCAAAAAAATCCACAAATTCTATTCTTTCCATATCTTCACTTCTCTACATGTTCTGAATATGAAGAACTCAATTATTACTTTACTCTTCTACCTTTCAAGTGTCATGACATAAGGATTGAAAAACTCAAAAGAAATGTTCATCATCCCTGAATATACCAATAGATTCAAAGGACAGTAGACTCGTCACAGTTTTGCTGTATTGGTGAAACAAAGTCTCTGGGCTAAACTAAGGTACGTAGGCACCGTGGAAATATGAGGATTTCCTGAGTTGAGCTGGTCCTATAGCTATTATCAGCTTTACCGACCTTTGCTGATTTGCATATGCTCAGAGCACACCCTACTGCCCCCAATGACTTCATAATAGGCTGCGCACACCCTGTACAGCAGTCAGACCCAGTCAGCAAACAGCATGGACATGAGGACCCCTGCTCAGCTCCTGGGGATCATGCTGCTCTGGCTCCCAGGTGAGGAAGCACAGCACTCCTCCCATCCTCTGTTCAGTGCTGCCTGGGTCTTCAGGGAAGGCCTCCTATAACATGACTAAAAGTGAGGACATTTGTGTTTTTGTTTCCAATGACAGGTTTAAGATATGACATCCAGATGACCCAATCTCCATCATTCCTGTCTGCATCTCCAGGCGACAGAGTATCACTTGCCAGGCCAGTCAGGACATTAACTATTATTTACACTGGTATCAGCAGAAACCAGGGAATGCTCCAAAGCTTCTGATCTATAACGCAAATAGTTTAGCCTCTGGAATTCCATCAAGGTTCAGTGGGAGTCAATCTGGGACCAAGTTCACTATCACAATCAGCAGCCTACAGTCTGATGAT